ACATAAAGAGAAAAATTTTCCCCCAATTCACCCAAATGCACTGTGATCAGTTGGGAATGGAAAAGTGTATTCAAATGGTGGTGTGTGAGTCTGTTACAAGGGTGAAGGTGTGCAGGCAGCATCTGCTGGACTTGTCTTTCACAAGATGATTCAGGAAGCTAAGCGGGATCACTTAGCTTACTTCCCATATAACAGAATAAACCTATTTTCAATTTCAAAACGAACTTAATTTCAATTTGACGTCCCTTATTTTATAAACAAAGCCGCATTTTCTCCATTTACATATCTGGTAAATTCTTCAATATGTTGGGGGGGGGGGAATAAAGCATAAAACTACATTCCCTGGAAAATATGCACAGTTAAAAAGGGGCAGGCATGGTGGTTCAACAGGCTAAGCTCTCACTTGGGACATCTGCATCCCAAGTTGGGGTGCTGATCCCAGTCCCAAATAACAACTGCTTCGGAAAGTGCTCAGCTTCCTGGTAACGCATGCTTGAGAGGCAGCTTGGGCCCCTGACTTCAGCTTCTCCCAACCCTGGCTGTTGTAGGTATTTGGGAAGTACATCAGCAGATAGGAAACCTGTCTCTGGAGTTCTGCCTTTCAAGTACATGGAAATATGAAAAAAGACATGTGAAAAAACTTTAAAATGTAGGATTTCTGGCAAATACACACACATATACACACACAAAGAAATCAGTTGAACTCACTTTCAACTCTAAAAGCTAAATGAAGCTGCACGAAGCTTCTTCAAATAAACAAATCATACAACATCACAGGTTCTGTTAAAAAAATGGGAGTAAAGTGTGTGTGTGTGTGTGTGTGTGTGTGTGTGTGTGTATGTATTTTTCTGGGCCCCCCAAAAAGGCAATTCTAGGGCAAAACTTTATTCCACTAACAAAAATAGTGTTGTATAGCCAAAACTCTCAAGTTCTCAGCATAATGTTCTTGTCAACAACTCTTTATAACAAAGTTCAAGGCCACAGTCTACTGAAAAATTTTGGCAAGCCAAGCTTACACAATTAAAATAAATAGAGTGTCACGTGATGTGGTCCTCTAAAGACGGAAATTTTAACTGTGACTACTCTTCCCAATTCTAATGCTATAAATAACTACTTTAGCTGAATAAAATTTTAAACCATTAATTCTCACAGAATGTAGTTGTGCCTTTGCAATCTGCATGTGTCTTACAAATATTTATCATGGGCTTGTCCAATTTAACAAACGTGATTGTGTCTACAAGATTTATGCCCATAGCAGGCAATGAGAATATGAAGGTGACCAAGACCACTGTAGTCCCTCTCTTTAAAGTACTAAGACAAGCAAGGAAGGCAAGAGATTCAGAAATAATTACTTCTAAAAATAAGTATCTGATGATACAGAATCAGCAAGAATACCTTAACAGCATCAGAAATGGACTTCTGGAAGAAGGTAAAGGTTTTTTTGTTGGTTATTATGCTGACTCCCATCAGTTAAATTATTATAAAACGTACAGGTTAATATATTTGCCAAGCTTACGAGCAATGTAGAATACTGCTTAAAAGAGGCTTTATAAATAAGAAATTCTTAGCTATAGTTTTAAAATGCTGAAAGGGATCATTTCTACCATTTCAGAAGGAGGAAGCAAATATAAAAAATAATGCAGCAGCACAGGTTTAAAATTAGAACTCTAACCACATGGTCTCTGTCAATGCTTTTTCTGCTAACCACACCAAAGTCATAATAGATAAATTTTAAAGCAGCATAAATATGCAACTGTTAATAGAAAAGCCTAAAACATCCAAGAAAACCTGCCAAACTTTCATAATGTTTAGGAGATGGAAGCAGATTGACTGATGTAGGGCAGCAGGGGCACGGCTTGTATTCTGTGGAAAGACCTAATAGAATAAGTTAGTTTTTATATTGACCTCTAAAAAGAACAAGAACTTGGAAATCCAATGACTGATAAGACAAACGTAAAACCTGGAGTTGAAAAAGAGAACTGGGGCCCAGCGGCGTGGCCTGGCTGCTAAAGTCCTCGCCTTCAACGTGTCAGGATCCCATATGGGCGCTGGTTCTAATCCTGACAGTTCCACTTCCCATCCAGCTCCTTGCCTGTGGCCTGGGAAAGCAGTGGAGGACAGCCAAAAGCCTTGGGACCCTGCACCCATGTGGGAGACCTGGAAGAAGTTCCTGGCTCCTGGCTTCGGATCGGCGCAGCACTGGCCGTTGTGGTCACTTGGGGAGTGAATCATCGGATGGAAGATCTTCCTCCTGTCTCTCCTCCTCTGTAAGTCTGACTTTGCAATAAAAATAAATAAATATTTTAAAAAATAAAAAGAAAAAGAGAACTAAATACCAACATCTGAGTATAATGAGATACCCCCAAGACACATGCTGTCACATGCGTATATGCACCTACTCTTTCACCCAGAAGATCACTGCTCCTCTTTCCTTTCCTACTGTTTGAAGAAACTCAGTGATACAATACAGAAAAGGGAGGTAAAAATACAGACATTTAGATGCTGCTGTAGTGAAGATTTCCAATCAAGAGACAATAAAGCAAACAACACAAAAAAAATCTTCACACACAAAGAACTTGAGTGGTTCTCAAGCAAGCAACAAAAACAGCCACTGAGAAAGCATCCCTAGAGCAAAGTGAGAGCTTATAAAATCAAATAGGAATAACAAAAGACCTAGGGAAAAAAAAAGAAAGTAATTCAATGAGTAGAAAACAAAATTAAACTGTAATTTATATCTTTATAGCAAAAGAGAAACTTACAGACCATGAAACACAATAGAGTGCTACACCACAGTTCTTTGAATACCAGAATGCAGGCAGACACCTGCAGAGTGCGTAAGACACCACTTGTGACACCAGCATCCTGTAAGTGCAATACTGGGTTTGACTCCCATTTCAAAATCTGATTTCAACTTGCTGCTAGTGCAAACCTTGCAAGGCAACAGGTGATGGCCCAAAGAGATGACTTCCTGCCACCCAGATGGGAAATGGGACTGGGTTCCCAGTCGTGGGCACTAGCCTGGCCAACACAGATGGTTGTCATCACTTGCTGTAAACTTGCAGAAGGAAGGTCTCTGGAGTTTTATTTTTTTTTTCCCTTCTCTCTTAAAGAAAAATTGCTGAGTACCTGTCAGGAGACCGAACTTCCAACTAACAGTAGTTCTAAAAAAAAAAAAAAAAAAAAAAAAAAGCAAGCAAGAAAGAAAAGAAAAAGAAACTGTGAAAGAAATAATACAAGAAAATTACACAGAGCTTTCAAACATAAATTTCCCTGGTGAAAACACCCTATGTACCCTGCAGAATCAATTTATTTTAAATGACCACCTCAAAGTTCATTACTGTGTAAATCTGAAACAGTTGGGATAAAAGAGAAGATTGCAACAAATTTGCAGAGGTGATAAAGTTCATACACAAATGGCACAGCTAAAGGGAATGTAGGGCTCGATGGAGGAAACTTAAGACACAGGACCGGAAAATTATTCAGTGTCTAAAACAACAGACAGGATTTTTCATAAACATGAAGAAATGCTTTTGCAAGTAAATAAAAATATGTATAACAAAAATAAACAAATAAAACCAGAATATGTTGAATGTCCACTACATGGCAGGGCTATCATGGTGCTTTAAATCTATTAAATATTTTAAACACATTAAAACATACAGGGAACTTCAGCCTCATTCTGCAGATGGGCAAACAGGAATGGTGAGGTTGATTTGCCCCTAATGATACAAATACATCATGGGAGAGTGAGAGATCTAGCATTCTGCTTGTGGTCTTTGAAAAACTGCAAGATGCTTTCTCTCAAATTCAGAAGTAAAACTAATGTTTAAAAAGAAAACACTGCTTGAATGCTAACCTGTTCCTAGCTGAACTAAGGTTGGTTAAAAGTTTCAACTCTGTCAGCTAGGACACACTGTCCATGCCCTTATCCTTGCTAAGCCATAGAAGTTCATGGGGTTGAAGGTAGCGGCTACCATTTTAAGTCTTTGATGTATACAAGTACCTTATATTTTATGCTTGTGATAATGCTGCTACAAGATCCAGAAATCAGATTCCCTCACTAAAACACATCAATAACCTCCAACAAAAACAACCGACAGACTTGCATCCAATCACCACTGTGTATTTAGGTAAAGAATCAAGGCTACAGAATTTTATCCAAGTTATAAACAACACAGCTGCCTCCTTTCTGAATTCTTTTTCTGTAAGCCTTCTATGCACACTTCTGGCAAATGCACATGAAAATTCTTCTGGGTAATTTTCCTAGTCATTTGCATGACCATTACATTCACTGATATGACAAAATGTGTCATGCTTGCTCCTTTGCTCATTCTTTCCTTACACTCAGATTTACAAGACAAAGCTGAACATTCTCATGTGATGCTCCTCCGTAAGCAATTAGCTTCATTCATAGTTCCCTACCTTTGCTGCCCTATGCACTTCGAAATTACTGCAACTTTCTAAGGGATTCTGGCTTTAGTGGAAGAGAGGAATAAATTCTTTTTAAATGGACTTCTATTTTTTCCCATTTAGTAACATGCCATTTGTGCTGATCTTCCATAAGGAGGCTATATGCGTTAGTATCTCCTGGCTTGGGAGTAAGAAAAAGGCTTTACAAGGATGTTAAGGACCCTGTCCAGTCTGAGGCTTCCTGTGCTTCATACACAGGACCTTCCATTGCCTGCTTCAGTGGGGAACTGGCTGACTGGTGACAGCTGCAGGCACCTATAAGGTTCTGAGGCATGCACAACAGCATCCTCTCTTCTCAGCACCTGGATGAAGGGCTTTGTGAGGAAGAGGGTGGTGACTGGCCTAGCAGGTCTCAATCTCTGCCCACCCGTCCACACCCCAGAGCTCAAGGACTCACAGCCTGGGATGTCCGAAGCCGCGGAGGCTCCCAGCCTCAGGCCCATCCCGAGAGCAGGTGACACACCTGCCCGCCAACTCTCGGGCATCACCTGTAAGCCGGACGAGGCGCGCGCACGCGCTCCCGCACATACCGTCTCCTTGGCAGCGGCCACGGGGATGGGCAGCAGCCCCCGGGCGCGGGGAGGGTCCTCGGGCTGCGTGGCCGCGCTCTCGCCGGGGCGGCCCGGCGTCGGCCCCCGCGCGGAGTCGGTCCTGGGGTCCCCGTACAGCTGGTAGCACACGAGGCCGACGAGACCCCCGCCGGCCGCCGCCGCGATGCTCAGCTCCCCCCAGCGCCGCCGCCGTCTCCAAGCCGCCTCAGCCACGGCGCCCTCCTCATCCTCACGGCAGGAGAAGGGCCGGCCAGGGACGCCCGGGACGGTCCCCGCAGGCCGTCCCGACGGCCCCAGAAAGGGCTGGTGAGGGGCAAGCGGAGATGCCAGCCGAGGCGGCGGCCACAGGAGTCTCCGCAGCGCAGCCATAGCGGGAGCCTCCGGCACCGCAGCTCGGGAGGGGGCGGAGGTGGGGAGAGCGAGGAGGGCGGCCGAAACCTCGCGAGAAGTGCGCACGCCGGACTTCGCGGCTGTCCCAGAGCGACCCCTACAAACCCGGGGCACCTCACCCGGGCCGCCTTCGCCCGAGGTACCTAGAGGGCTTCGGCCCTGGAAAAGCCACGAAGAGCCGGCGGATGTGGCCGGCTCTGGGCCTGCGCCCCCAGCACCCCTACCCCCCCAAAAAAGAGGACGTAAATAACCACGCCGGCACCGGGCGGCACCTGGCGGCGCGAGAACCCGACACCGCCGGGGGCAGCAGGGGTCAGCGGAGCGTGGACAGGCCTCTGGGGCGGGGGCTTGGCCGGGCTCCCCTCGGCTCCCTGGGCTTCCACCTCAGCGCGACCCTCCGAAAGTGACACCCCCTCACGGCGTCCAGATTTTCTAATTCAAGATCGTGACTGATCTGAAACTGTTATCTTCACGCGTGTCACCAAAATGAAGTGTAAAAAAAATCGACTGAAATTATGGAAATTGCAGATAAAGGCCAGTGATGTTGTGACTACTGGGCCTCAGCTTCCGGACTTTGGGTAGGGAATGACTGATGTTGTTCTGTAGGGGGTCACTAATATATTCTAGAAATTTCAGTTTTTCTAGAATTGATTGAGCAGATCAGATTTGTCTTAAGCAAGTATATGAAAGGAAGATATTAAAAGTCTTGTTAGATATTTTTTGGGGAAAGGCTGTTGGTATAACTAAGGAATTGGCAAGTGCATTGTGTCATAATTCTCTTTTTTTTTCATTCTTTTCCTTGGTACCATTTTGTAGGTATATGGATTCCCCTTTCTCCTCCCCCTCCCCATTTTTCCCACCCACCATTATCTCTTGAATTATTACAGTAATATAGTCCTTTAGTAACAGTTACAAGTTTAACATTTTGCTATTTAAGTGTATCATGACTTTGTAGGTATATGCAATGCTAGAGAATATTATCAAATAGTCAAGGAATATTTAACAGTTTCATTAGAAGTCCTCATTTTATTCTAGAGTAAAGACACATACTGCAATTGCAACATTCACCATATGCTAGCCTCCATTATACAGTTCATCTATGAAAATATATGTATACACTTGCTTACCTATAAATCTCTTTATTTTGTAACCCAGTCCCAGAGGGCAAATATGATTACTTCTTTTGTTTGTTGTGCTTTTTCTTCTTGCTACAGTGTGTTGACTTTATGAGAAGGTTAATATGACATTCTTAGCAGTTTCCCATGCCTAGCCTCAATGTCAGTAACTGAGTTTGAGCTTCATACAATGGAAGAGTGCCAGGAACTCCTGGAATGTTTCATTCTAGGAGTGTAAAAAACTAAATCCAGCTGTCACAATGGGGCTGCAGTGACATGCTGATACAATCTGGTCATTCCAGCAACTCTTAGAAAGACTTAGCGTTGGCAGAGACCATCAAAACGAGATTTCCTGGCCCTCATCCTGCAATTCCTCACTGATCCCTTTTCCAACAGAGACTTGGATACCCTACATCATGTCTTGTTTAATACAAGCTAATGGAATTTTGTTTTCTTAAACCACTAGAAGTGGTTTAAAAAATCTTCTTGGACAAATATGTTCAGAATACCATCTGAGTGTGTATTTGTGCGTGTTTCACTTCCTGCCTATTGATTTTGGTAATCAGTGTTGTAAGTAAAGACTCCATGATGGCTCCTTACCTTATTACCAAGCTTCACTCAATTTCTGGATTTTGGAAAGTTTTAGTTTTCCAAAAGCATTACTGTGTATTTTGGACTGAACAAAATTTCCTGATTTTTTTAAGAGGCTGTACACATACCTTAATGGCACAATTCTTCAACAGGCTTATGAATTTTTATTAGCTGCATAATTAAAAGCTTTAATTTAGGGAGATGGTACAGTCATATCTGATATAAATAAAGTGATACACAGAGATCCTCCATCCAAGATGACTTCAAATACACACACACACACACACACACACACGAATATATCCATCCATCTAATATCTTTCCAATGTAAAAGATTTGCAGAATCCAGCTCCTGCAAGCAATTTCCCTGGCTGGAAACTTAAGTTCTGCTGTGAGGGGTACTACGTTTTGATTTGTGGAGTACACAGAACATTTTGCAAAAAAACAGTCTTTTATGTTCAAAAAAGTTTTTCTAGTTACAACTTTCCATGGTATCACTCTCCAAAAGTCAAACTTATTTGAGAACAAGTTATTTTTCTTGTTTTGTGTTTGATAAATGTGTAACCATAGTTACACAAGAATAACCAAATTCTTCTGTGTGAAAGCTTTCTGAGTTGAATTCCCTAGAATTTCTTAGAATTATAAGAAAAAACACTGAAAAATTTGAAAAGTTTCTACAAAAAGTCACAAATGGTGTTACATTAATATAGTCAGCCCAATTTTTCTAATCTTTTGTATTGAATTCTGCTAAACTTTAATATCCCAAAGAGGCAGGAGTTGGGCCTGGTGAAATGCCTGCATCTTGTTAAATACATGGATTGCATTTCTGCTTCTGGTTCTTAACTCCAGCTTCCAAATAATGCAAATCTTGGGAGGGAGTGGTTGTGCCTCAGGTAATTGGTGCCCTGCCACCTCTGTGGGAGTTCCAGCTGCTAGATTTGCCTTCCACCCATCTGGCCAGTTTAGGTATTTGAAGAGTGAACCAACAAATTGGAGCATGCCGTCTTTCTCTCTGCCTCTCAAATTATTTTTTAAAATGATGGGACCAGTATCGTGGCATGGTGGATAAAAGCCTCCACATGTGCAACTGGCATTCTGTACAGGTGCCAGTTCATGTTCCAGCTGCTCTACTTCAACTGCAATTCCTGCTTTTGACCTGGGAAAAACAAAGGACGATCATGGCTAACCATGGAGGAGACCCTGATGAAGCTCTTGACACCTCACTTTGGCCTAACTTAGTGCTGGTTGCTGTGCCATCTGGGCGCTGAACTAGTCGATCAGAGACTTTTCTCTGTAACTCTGACTTCCAAATAAGTGAAGAAGTCTTTAAAAATAACTAATATTCACAAAATGCTCCTACCACACAATGAGAATCCGCACCTTTAAAGATACATTCACTTAAACTCCAAGTGAAAAGAAATGTTCTGAAAAATCAGAAAAAAATAGCAAGGGTTAAGCCAAAAAGCATGTTCTAGAACAACATATTTCTCAGCGGATAAGCAGTGTTAAGATGTGTGTGATCAGGGCTCTACTCTTGGTTTTGTTTCATCACAGCTGGAATGCTTGAAGGCCACAACTCCCATAAAATACTGGTTGTTATTGACTAGGAGGTCATCTTCAGGATCCATGTTCTAATTATCCAAGAGGCCCCAAGTATATGTAAACTATTTATTACTAATAGAAATAAAATATTTTTTTTAAAAAAAGATTTATTTCTTTGAAAGAGAGACAGAGTATCTTCCCTCTGTTGGCTACTCCACAGCTGGGCCTAACAGCCAGGGTTGGGCCAAGCTGAAGCCAGGAGCCAGGATCTCCATCTGGTCTCCCACATGGGTGGCAGAGGCCCAGGTTTCTGTGGTATTATCTGTTGCCTTCCCATGTGCATTCACACAGAGATTGGAAGGGAGCAGCTGGACCTAAAGTGGACTGAAACGGAATGTGGGCATCCCAGGTGGTGATTTAACTGGCTGTTTCACAACACCTCCACCCATGTCATAGCATTTTTTCATGTGGTTTTTCTTCTTAAAAATTTATAGTTAATATGATTTTTAAAATTTTTTAAACTTAAAACATCATCCTCTGACTCAATCATTTGTTCTTACTATTTTTAAAATTGCATAGAAATTAGTGACTTAAATTTTGAAAATATGAAAATTGCACGAAAGAAGCAAAAATGTCTTAATTAATAAATTTCTATTAAAATGTGCCATTGGGGCCAGTGTTATGGCATAATAGGTAAACCTGCTCCTGCAAGGCTGGCATCCCACAAGAAGCACAGACTCAAGTCCCCGATATTCCACTTCTGATCCAGCTTCTTGCTAATGCATTGGTGAAAACTGGCCTAGTGTGGGACATTTGCACCCATTTGGGAGACCTGGAGGAAGCTCCTGGCTCCTGACTCTGGCTTTGGTCTGGCCAAGCCCTGGCTGCTATGGACATTCAAGGAGTGAAATATTAGATGGAAGATATCTCTCTGTCTTTCACACACACTCATGTGTGTGTCTCTCTTTCACACACACTCGTGTGTGTCTCCATAACTCTGCCTCCAAATGAATAAAATAAATAAAAACTGCCTGTTAGAGGTGGACTCAAGAGCTGCATCAGCTCACTGGAGCTGATTGTTAAATTCTCAGGACTTTCCTGAACCAATTATTAAGCAAAGATACTATGAAAAATTGAAGTACATAAAGTTGCAATTATATAAATTGCTTTTAGAAATAATTCGCGTATATTATCTAAGTATAAAAGACAGTACTGAAAATTATTCACTTCCCAATTTTGTAACTGTTTTCTATTATGTCTTTTGTGCATTCTGTGTATTGACATTGTGCCTTGCATCTCCTCCAGATTGTGCCACAGTAATGAAAGAATGCAGGCTGATGGAAGATTCACAAAACTTTGCAAATAAGATTCCCAGAACTCCCACCCCTTTAACTTCAGAGCTGTTCTTAAGCATTTCCCAGCATTTATTGCCCGCAGGTGCTTCTCAGGGAGACCTTCTCTACTTCCTAAAACTGTCCCTTCATCTTCAGCTGCTTCTTCTCATGTGTGGTTTATGGGCCTATCAGTGCAAAGTTGCCAGAGATCAGAAATATCCGTAGGCTAGACCAGTAGAATGGTTCCTGTTTAGAATGTGAATGAAGATTGATGGAGACCGAAGGAATTAGTAACCGAGTTATGATCACAGCAGCGTGCTGGATTACAGGGTTTTGAATTTGCATCAAGTTGCTGAAGCTGATTTAGTTGCCACACGTAAGATCTCATAGCACCACT